AGTTTTCATCAGCTGGATTTCATGAGAGGACCAGGCCTTTCCCCTACATCACGTTAGTCTGGCAGCTCCACTGACACCTGTCAGCATCATGGGAACATGCTGATGGGGAATCACTGTGTCCAAGGTGCACTGGCCAGGAATCACACCCACTTGGTAACACTGACACTAATGAGGTTTCAGGGCTCATCCTGGGATTCTGTGAGGTGACGCAGAGGACCCAGTTGAGGTGGGGTGACCACATCTCAGGTTGTCAAATGTGAAAAAGGCACAAAGTCTGCCACTCAAAAATACAAGAAGCCGAACCCCATGCCAGTGGTAATGTAAACGCAGTGGCCCTGGGTCGGGTTTCTGAGACTGTAAATCTTTATGGGAGCAAATAGTCTCATCTTTGTCCTGTGGAACAGCTGATGGGTTTGAACTCTAGGCTTCGTACTTAGTAGCCCAGCAGTGCCTAACTCACAGCATCACCAGGGCTCCTAATACCAGTGATGAGGTTGCCCCATCCCAGAGGCATCAACGTAGTAGGTCTGGGGTGAGGACTCAGCTGTGTCTAGAAAAGAAAATGACTTCTGAGGCACGCCAGGCCAAGACCACACTCACTGCTGTCCAGTCCATTCTGTCTCATGGTGGCTCAGGCAGGGTAGAGCTGCCTCTGTGGGTTTCCACGACTGCAACCCTTTACAGGAATAGAAAGCCCTGTCTTTCTCCCGAGAAGGGGCTGTGGTTTTGAATTGCTCACCTTGCAGATTGCAGCCCAAACTTAACCACCATGCTACTGTAACCAGGGTTGAAATGGCGTAGCACTTGCATTTGGGAAACAAATTATGACTTTGGGCCAGATACTTAACCTGCATCAGTTTTCCTCATCTATAGACTGGGGATTCGACAAGAATTTTGTTAAGGGTCAAATAGCCCATGGGAAAGTGCTTTTTATAAATTCTGACCACTCCACTAAGCCACTTGCTCCTCACCATCATTATCCAGCCTGTTAAGTGGGAGTAATTGGAGAGGATTTAATTTTTAGCCCTAGACTTGGGCGGGCCCTGGTGGATAATGATGTAGAATGAGGGACCGTGAGTCAGCAGGGTGGTTCTCGAATCAGATTTTTCTAAGTCAACTTGTGTAGCTTCTGAAGTTCAGACACGTGGGTCCCAGAAAGGAGGAAAACAGAGGGCAGTGAATGGTGTCTGCAGCTGCTCTGGCACAGGTAACAAGGCACACTTCCTAGACCAGTAGTTAATAACACTTTCTCCCATAAGGATTCCTATCATTACTGATTTTTCTTAATGGAGCAATATTTTAAAACTTTATTATGAAGTTTTATTAGTTTTAGTCTGTTGCCTAAGAAGAGCGAGCCATCAGTGCAGAATAAGCACAGGGAGGAGGAATTCGGGTCGCCATTTGTCCTAGGATTTTAGGAAAGCTAGATCAGAAACACGTGGGAGTCCTGGTGGCTCCGATGGCTAAGAGCCCAGTTGCTCACCAAAAGGATGATAGTTCAAACCCACTCAATGGAGACAGATCTGATTGTCTGCTTTCATAGATTCCCACCTCCAACACCCTAGGGGAGAGTTATATTCGGTCACCTGGGCCTCTCAGCGGTGGCATCCCACCACAGCAGTGGTGGGCGTCCGGCCCTCAGCGTATGAGCTTCGCGTAGGCAGCCTGCAGCCTGTGCATGGCTCGCCCTCAGGTTGGCTGTGCTGCCTTCCCATCAGAGGCGCCCAGTGAATGTGTGCTGGGCTCGGTGACTGAGAGTCCAGCTAGAGGGTAACTCAGAAAATGACAGCAATTTCTGCCATCAGTGCCACATGGCCATTAAAAGGGTGAAAATGAACAAGTAGGAACATGGAACCTTTTTAATCAAAGGAGCAACTAGACTTCCATTCATTTCAGAATGTAAGAGCATCCATGTATTGCCTCTAGGTGTAAAAGACAACTAGGAGAAGATGCGGGGAAATACAATCACTTATGTATGGGCACATGACTCGGTACAGAATCAGGCTTGCTTTGTAACTCGTGACGACTCAAGAAGACAGCCATGCTCTGCTCCAGTTAACCGCGATTCTCCTTTGCCATTTGGCTTCTCTGCAGAATGTCCCCGATGGCTGCTGCTCCGCAGGCTCCGGCAAGGGGATCTGTTCGGAAGACAAGGCCTTTGGTTGTGAAGACCTCCTTGGCCAACCCCTATGCTGTCTCCTGGAGTGCTCTGGAGAGAGAGGACATGCACTTTATATTGCAGACACTGGAAGACAGATTGAAGCAGATTGGACTTCAGAAGATTGAGGATAAGAAGAGAAGGAAAAAACTGCCTTCGTTCAAAAACCAAAGCAGAGAAAGCTGTAACACAGATGTCAGAGTTAGTGAGGAGCTGAAAGATGATAACCCACAGGTGTCAGGGTGGACTTGCGTGCACACCAGGAAGCAGCTAGCCATTGGAGTTAACGAAGTGACCAGAGCCTTGGAAAAGAACGACCTGCTTTTAGTGCTGGTGTGCAAGTCAGCTAAGCCTGCCCTCATCACCTCGCACCTGATTCAGTTAAGCTTAAGCAGAAGTGTGCCTGCTTGCCAGGTGCCTCGCCTCAGTGAGAGGATTGCACCCGTCATTGGCTTAAACTGCGTCTTAGCCTTGGGGTTCAAAAAGGGTACCACTGACTTTGAGAATGAAATCAAAGCTATCATACCCAGAGTACCTCCTTTAAGTGTCCCATGGCTCCCAGACAGAATTGAAGACCTGAGGGACAATCTAGAGACCGAATCTTCAGAAGGGCCCGACAAAGAGACCATAGACGCTTCATTTGAAAACCTCTCATCACATAAGAGGAAGCTAGTTGAAGGTCAGCAGACTCCTGCTGTAATATTACAACCCCTGAAAATAAAGAAATTAATTCCAAACCCTAATAAGGTAAGGAAACCACCCAAAAGTAAAAAGACAACTTCAAAGTAACCGTGTACAAAATACAAACCTGTCACCTTGTAATTGTAAACCAATACCTGGAAAGAAATGGTGGGACCAATAAAATGAGCCACTTTTATTACATCCTTTGGGTACCGTTTGGGAATGTTCCTTTCAAACGTGTGCACGACTCTATAACTGTATAGTGTATACATGCTGAGGTTTATAAACACTGCATGCAGAAAATGTTCGAAGGTATGGATATCAAAACAAAAGTTTATTGAAACTAATGTCCATGCTTGTATAAATTTACACTTTAAAAAAAAGATTGGTACAGTGTAATCAAGAACATCTGTATTCTACCACACTCATCATCTGTTTGACTTGAAAAGGGTGCCACTGTCAACCTAGTTCCAATTGGGAGGGTGAGCGAAACTGGACTGAGGACGCAGTTTTAAAGGAAAGTTTTACTTAGTGCTAAACAATGCCCTGTCTTTGGAAACAGTACATCATTGTTTCACCTCCTGTCAATTCAACTCTGTAGACAGGCACAGGGTTGGGAGAAAGGTTTAATTTCTATAGCAAAAGATGGAGTCCTTCCATTTACATGGTTAATTTCCTTGGGAATGTCAACATGTATAAAAAGTGTGGTCAGAGGGTGAACTGTGGCAAAAAAAATTAAGGACTGGAAGAGCGTGGACCCTCAGAAGCCAGGCTGGGTAATGCTAGGGCACCCTTCCTGTCCCGGGAGTGGAGCCTTGCAAGAGAGCCCAAGTTACCTTCTGAAATTTAGAGTTTGGCAAATTGTATTTTCAGCCTGAATTCTCGTTCACTTGTATTGTGATACTATAGTTCATTTAAATGCTTTTACTTAATGTCATCTTGGGAAGCAAAATAAGGCTATTTCGTAAAAGAGATTACTTTGATTATAGATGCAGGGTAATGTATTTTTAAATGTATAAGACATTACGTGTTACATTTCAATTGATGATTTTTTAATAGCTACATTATAAACACAGGCAGTTTTACCAGTTGTTTTAAGGAGTTCGTTGGTAATATACTTCAATTAAAAAAAGGTAAATATTTATTCATATATTTTAAGGTAACTCGGTAAAATAACAGTGATTCTAAAACAGCTGAAGTGTTGTAAATGAAACAGGTTTGCCATGAGGTAAGCTCATGACAAACACTAGTAACCCTGCACTTCCTTCAGTACCTCCTTCATATGTGAGTTGGCTGTAGAAATGAGTAAGATATAGTTCCTCACAAAAGCCTTGACTGAAATTTAAGTTAAAACCACCTTTATGCTGGTGTTTCAAAAGATATTTGAGTGACTTGGCTCTGTTTCTCTTCTCCAAGAGTTTGTCCATCTGTTAAGAATGGTAATACAGGAGAGGGACATATCTGATCAGAGCACACGGGAGCAGATGAAGGGGGAGGAGGAGAGAGTGGAGCGCACATCCTGGCCAACCAGGCCTTGAGGATGAAGTCCCTCACTGACCCATAGCCCTACAGGGGACAACACCGGAGACACAGTGGGAATTGTGCCCAATCTGATCCTGCCACACAGAGACAAAACACTAAGGGGGTGCAACAGAACAGCAAGGGAATGGAGTGGCGAGATCCCCAGGGAATGCTGAAGG